ATTAAAATTTTTACTCAGGTCGGAAAATTATAAAAAGTATTTTATCATCATTATTTAGGTTTTTTGTTTAAATAATTTTGTACCTGCTTAAAAAAATGTTTGGGAACTGGCGAGTTTTGTAACAACCACAAAAAAAAATTTGGTTAAATGATTCGAGTTTGTCGCTTAAATGAGTGTCGTTTGTCGTGTGAGTGAAAACAAACAAACAAACAAACGGTGGAAAAAATTTTTTGTTTTTATTTAAATTGAAATTTAGGGGAAGGGGAGGGGGGAAAAATTAAAAATTATAATTATTATCATTACAAACGGGGAAAAAGAAAAATGATGAAATATTATTTTATGCAAATTATTATTACCTTTATTTCCGTAATTTTTAACATTTACCTCGCTCCTACGTAATTAAATTTATTATTATTATTATTATTATTATTATTATTATTATTTTATGTGAGTGTGTGAGTGTTGAATTTTATTATTATTTAATCCTCGACATCTGTTTTTTTTTTTTTCATCATCATTATCATTTCGAAAAGTTTAAATAGAGAAAAAAGGAAAAAATTGTTTGAAATATTATTATTATTCGTACTCGTTTTGTTTTTTTTTTTGGGGGGGAGGGGGAGGGGGGAATTTGGTAACGGTCGAATGTGAATACGTCACATTTGCGGATCAATCAAAAAAATTTGAAATTTAAAATAATTTATTATTATTATTATTAATTAATGTTTATTATTAAAAAAGAAAAAAAAATGTCTTTTTCGCATGAAAATTTAATTTGATTTAAGATTTCCCGCGTTTTTTTTTGGAAAATATCATAGGAATCACGCGAATATCTTTTCCAGGCTGTTACCCTCCATGATAATTTTTTATATATATATATTTTTTTTATCCAAAAAAAAAAATGTTTTGCGGTTCTGATTTCGTGTGAAGAATAAATAATATTAAACGTTGTTTTTTTCCACTTGAGATTATATTTATGTTTATACATTTATATATATACATATATATATAATACGTTTCTGCGGTTTTTATTCATTATTTTTTATCGGTTAAATTTTATATATTATTATTATTATTATTATTAAAATGCGTGACTTTTTAAAATACTGTCGAGTATTTTTTAAATGATCGAAAAAAAAATAAAATAAAATAAAACCCTCGAAATTATTATAATTATTATTATTATTAATTCTAAATTTTTTTAAATGATTAAAATGAATGTGGGACAAAGAGGGGAAAGGGGAAGGAGGAAGGAGAAAAGGAGAGGAAAGCAGACGATGTATTCGAAAACAACAGGAAAAATTAATTTCATTATCACATAATTATTTCAAAAAATAAAAAAAAAATAATTTTACTTTTAAAAAAATTATGGGTCATTTGTCTTTTTTTTTTTTTTAATATTTTTTTTTCGAAGGTTGGTAATAAAATTAATTATTATTATTATTTTTTTTTTTCGGTGAGATTAAATTCGAAACGTTTAAAACGAAAAACCGGAAATTCATTTATAAATTCGTAAAAATAATTTTTGTTTTTTTAATTTTTTTTTTCATTTCCGTTACGATAATAATAATAATAATAATAATAATAATAATTATCATCATTATTATTTTTGTTTTCTCTCCCTTAGACGAATCGTATATCGATCAAGAACCGTGATTTTATTATTATTATTATTATTATTATTATTATTATTATCCACCATTAAACACGACAAGGCTACTTGTCGGAGTTTTTAAGTATTTATCCGAGGTTTCTACCCGATTCCTTAGGGACAAATACTCGAATTTCGGTGGTGCCACTTATTATAAGATAGCACCACATCAATTCTTGAAGGTCTTCCTGAGTCCGTCTTTTTCGATGGGAACGATTTGTCTCCTGAACTGGGCTCCGGTGACTAACATCTTTGGAGTGGCCAGGGTCAGAAGCAGTAAAATTCACGTTCTCGTCGAGCTGCCTCAGGTCGACAGTAGAACAAGATTTGTTTTTTGGTTCTTACTTTGTCTTGTTCTCATTTTTTTTTTTTTTTGCTCTTTTAAGCCAACAGCACGTGGCGTTCTCAGACGGTCACCCATCCAAGTTTGCACCACGCCCGATGCTGCTTAACTTCGGTGATCGTACGGGAACCGGTGTGACCAGCACGCTATGGCCGTTGGCTTTTATTATTATTATTATTATTATTATTATTATTATTATTGAATTTAACAACGGGAATTGACAAAAAAAAAAAAAAAAAAAAAAGGAGGGAAGAAAAAAAAAAAAAAGTTAATTTTATTCATCGTTTTTTCTCGAACGTGGAAAAAAGAGAGAGAGAGAAATCAATAAATAATAATAATAATAAATAAATAAATAAATAATTTTTATTCTTTTTTTTTTTAATTTCAATATCAATAATTAAAATGTTTAATTCATTTGAAATAAAAATAAAAATAAAGTCATCGACCTTGTTTTATAATAAAAAAACGAACAGATGGCGTCTCCGCGAATCATCATCCATTTTGAATTTTTTTTTTTTTTTTTCATTAATTAAATCACGATCGGATATCATCGTACATTTCCGGAGATTCGTCATTATCGTCATTACGGGGTGGTAAAATGAAAAAAAAAAAAAATGTGAAGGGAAAATCATTTATTTAAGGGAAAAATTTGTGTGGGGTGTGGAAAATTTTTTTTTTTTTTCGGGAAATTTTTTAAATTTCCCGCCTTTTTTTTTTTAAATTTAAATTTTTTGGATTTATCGTTTCGTTTATCCGTTAAATAAATAAATAAATTAATAATAATAATAAATGAAATTATATAAATAAAAAAAAAAAAAAACCGATGAACTATTAATTATAAATTTAATTTACCACGTCGTTTTGTACACGTGTATGTGTTAAAAGAAAGAGAGAGAGAGTGAGAGTGAGGGAAAGAGACAGATTTTAAAATTAAGGTTTATTTCAGTGAGTTAGCTAGATAGGAAAGCTTAAATTAGGAAAAAAAAATAAAAAGGAAAAAAGGAAAAAGAAAGGAAAAAAAAAAAACAAAGGCGATTACATAACAAAACAACAACAACAACAAATCCTTTGTTTAAAGAGGTTGTAAACAAAAGATTTAGGTAAAAATTTACTCAAGGTATTATTATTATTATTATTATTATTATTATTATTATTATTATTATTATTATTTGGTTTTTGTTGTTTTTTGCCATATTGTAAATATTTTTTTTGCTGTCGTCATCATTTGCTTCGTTGTCGTTGTCATCATCGTCGTCGTCAGTAATATCATTGACTTCTGTTTAATTTAAAAAAGAAAAAAATTTACAAAGAAACTCTTACGTTGAAAATAAATTTATTTTTCATTTACAAAAGAGTTTAACAAAAAAAAAAGAAAAATTTAAAATGTTTTCTTCTGCTTTTTGTTTTTTTTGTTATATACGAAATGTATTTTTTTTTCCCCATTCTCGACTTAAAATATTTTACTGTTAATTTACTCTTTTCTTTTTTGTGCAGGAGGGGGGGTGGGAGGCGGAGCGAGGGGCGGGGAAAGGCTCCTAACCCGCCTTTCAATTTTAGTAGTAGTAATAATAATAGTTTTCTCACCGAATTTTCCTAAAAATCTAAAACGTTTTACGCGTTTTTTTAGTGATATCGTATATAGTGTGTAGCAATTATTCACGTCGAAACGCCTCACTCTCGTCCTCTCTTTTTTCCTCCCTCCCGTCCTCCCCCCGACGGTGTTTTGTGACTTTAAAAGATTTTCACATAAATTTTTTTTTTTTTTTTTTCTAGTTCTATTTCTATTTCTACGGTTGGGGTGTTGTCTACTTAAAACGCATGTTTTTTTTTTTTTTTTGGATGAAAACAAAACAAACAACAACAACAACAACAAACACGGGGAGGGGGGGAAAAACGTTAATTTTCCTACTACTTTTGTTTTCTTTTCCCACCGCCTTCTCGATAATGACTCGTCGGAATGTTTTTTTTTTTTTGCGCTGTGCATTATTTTTTTTGCTTTATTTAAAGGTAACAACGAGGACACTTTTTTTTTTTTTACTGTTGCTGTTGCTACGGAGTAAACACACAAAAAGCGTTATTAGTATTAATTATTATTATTATTATTATTATTTCGCCTTTGCATATTTAAAACATTATTAAAATTTATTTAATGGAAACATTTAATGTGATGTGTGTGACCATAATTTACAACCTTTTAAAGTTATCATTTATTTATTAAAAAATGTAAAAATTTCAGGCGACGTTATTAATAATAATAATAATAATAATAATGATGATAATAATAATAATAATAAACCTCGAATGCACTTGCACGCCATTAGTGCCTTTTAATTTTTTTTTTCTCTCTTCCTCCCCCTCACTCTCTCACTCTCTCTCTCTCTCAAATCGTTCATAATTTTTCATTTGTTTTTGTTTATTTTTTTTTTTTCTCCTCTCTTGCTACCACGTGACTTTTTGTTTTTTGTAATGGCGAACGGAAGTGACGTAATTTTTATTATTTTTTTATTTTTTATTGCCGTCGTTCGATTTTTCATACGATTCGGATAGAAAAAGGAAAATTTTCGTTAAAGGATTTTTTTTTTTTAGATGAACGTTAATAATGGTAATTATTATTATTACTATTATTATTATTATTATTATTATTATTATTATTATTATTATTATTATTATTATTATTACCCTTTTCAAAATATTTCATTTTGATTTTAATTTTCCGACAGGATACCGAAAAGGAAAAGTTGTGTGTGTGTGTGTGTGTGTGTTGGGGAAAATTTTTTTTTTCGAAAACAGGTTAAATTGCGTTTTCCGTAATCATTGAGCCATTGATTTTGTCATGTTTTGTTACCATTAAGAGATAAAATCTTTTCTGGTGATTCTATTTTTTGAAAATGTAACGAGGATCCCTCTACCGAAAAATCATGTTTATTTAAATTTTTTAAAAACATATACATATATATGTATTTCATTCATTTGTTTTTCTTTTTGGGGGGGAAAGGCAGAGGAAAGCGGATGGGGGGTAAAACCCGCATCCGTCATTATTATTATTATTATTACTTTGTTTTTGTTTTACGGTCTCGCGTCGTTTTATATTACACCGAGTAATTTTTTTTTTGTTTTGTTATTCTTTCGTTTGAAATATTATACTTAAGCTAATTAAAAACATTTGACGTTATTTTTGTTACCATATTTTGATGTTTTAAAATTTCACACTAAAATTTTTACGCCATTTTGTTTTTTTTTTTTTTTTTTTTTTTTTTTTTTTTGTTAAAAAATGCTACCACATTCGAATTAGTTCGTTGGTTTTTTTTTGTTGAAAATTTTCATAAAAATGTCTCTTACTTAATTATTATTATTATTATTTTTATTATTATTTACGATTAAAAATTTTAATTAAGGTTTTTTTTAATAATAATTAAATAAATAATGATGATAATAATAATAATAACGGAAACAGTTAGCAGTCGAAAGGAAAACAAAAACCGCGAAAATTTTTTTTAAGATTTTCCTCTTCATTTTCTCGAGATTAAGATCCTTTTTTTTTCTCTCTCTCTCTCTCTCATCTGTTTAAAAAAATTATATTTATATGTAAAATAATGATAATAATAATAAGTTTTTTGTATAATCTAAGAATGTTTTTTTTTTTTCTTTATTAATTTTTCAGTTGCATATCTCAATTTGGGACAATTGTTGGCAACTCAGGGAAAATGCGAAGAAGCCATTGTTATACTTCGACGATGTAGTCAATTGGATGGCACGGGATTAAAAGATCAAAAACAACACGAAACAACTAAAATAACGGCGTTGTTACATTTGGGAAGATTATTTGCCGATCAGGGAAGATATAACAAAGCCGTTTCCGTTTACATGGAAGCCGTTAAAGCCATGCCACATTTTTATCAACCTCAGGTAAGTTTTTATTTTGCGTTTATGATAGAAACGACAACGTTTTACGATTTCGCTTTTCTCCTTCTCCTTCCCCCCTTACCCATCCGTCGAAAGAAAAAGGAAACAAATTTTCCGATGTATTTTCTCTCCCTCTTTCTCTTTCTCTTCATTCTGTCCGCCATATTTTTTTTTCTCCCACATTTGGAATTAGTTACTAATGGAGAAAAAAAAAATTTAATGACATTCATGTTTTAATTAAATAATAATAATAATAATAATAATAATAATAATAATAATAATAATAATAATAATAATAATAATAATAATAATAATAATAATAATAATAATAATAATAATCAAAAAAAGGAAAAAAAAAGGAGAAATTAATTAAATCATAAAAAATTAAATAAACCGGCACTAAACTCTTTTAATCTTTTAAAAATCTTTATTAATACCATTTTACAAAAATTTAATTAATTATTTATTTCAAAAAAAAACGATGGGGGTAGAGATAGGGGGTAGGGGAAGGGGTGGGAAACCAACAAAACAAACGAACGAAAAAAAGGAAAACAATAAAAAAAGTTTTTTTTTTTTTAAATAAAAATTAAGAAAGTTAAAATTGATATTTAAAAAAAAAAAAAATTTATTATTATTATTATTTATCCAAAATCTTTTCATCTTTTTTCATAATTCTCTCTCTTTCTCTCTCTTTCTCTATCACGTCGTTTTTTCTCTTTTTTTTTTTTAAAGTAAAAATGAAATAAAATTTATATGCGACACACACACACACATATATATGGGGGGATTTGATATTTAAAGTTATCTTAATGACCAAAGGTTTGACAGTAGTCACAACAAGGAGGAGAAATGTTTTCTCTCTCTCTCTTTCTCTTTTGCTAAAAAATTAATGGCCTGGAACTTATGCGATAACTAAATAGGAACATTTTCAAATTTTTAAACCAAACCAACCGACGACTCATACGCACGCACACATTCATTCTCGCATTCATTCTTTTGAAAAAAAAAAATTATCAGAAGACATTTTTTTTTTTTTTGTTTTTATTGTTATTAAAATAAAGAGAGAGAGAGAGAAAAAAAGAGAGAGTGAGAGAGAGAGAGAATGAAAACAAAGAAAAATTTTTTAATGACCGTTATTATTTTTTTTTTTTTATTATAACTTTCCAGTGAAATTAATTTGGAAAGGCGCGAGAGAGGAGGAGGGGAAGGGAAGGGGGAAAAAATTTATTAACTTATCGTTTCGTTGTGCGGGTGCCTCCCCCTTCCCCCTCCCCCTCCCCCCGCTTTACATTCATTTAAAATTTTCATCATTTTTATTTAAAATTTTTTTTTTTTTTTCAAATGAACGATCGGAAATTTAATTAAAAATAAAATTATCATCATCATCATCATCATTATTATTATTATTTCATTTCTTTTTTTTTTTTTTTTTTTTTTTTTTTGAAAAATGACGGAAAACGTTGAAAATTTTTTTTTTTTTTTTTTTTTTTTTACTCGAAATAAAATTATTTAATCAAGCATGAATGTTTTTTGGCGCTTTTATTTTTTGGTGTCGAGTCGAAATACAACACTGCGTCGGTTGTTGTTTGTTGTTGTTGTTGTTGTATTGTCTCAATATCTCATAACCTTTGGCGCCGGAGTAAAAGAGTTTGTTGTTGTACAGATAAAAAAAATATATATATATAAAAATTTAGATTTTTATCTTTTTAAACAAGTTATTTTGTACTAAAGAAGTAAAAAGGTTGAACGTAATTTTATAACAAACGAAAAAATCGCTTGAGGATTTATAATTTAATTCTTTACTTTTACCACTACCTCCATTTCATCCCCACCAACACCCCCCGCTACTACCACTACCACTCTTTATTGTCATCAATTTTTTTTTTTTTTTATTGTCAAAATTTTAATATCCAACTGGAAGAGTAGCTCAGCATCAGCATCATCAGCACCTTTTCCGTTTGTTTATTTGAATATAAAATGAAAAAAAAAAAAAGAAATGAGACGAAATAAGAGAAAGAGAAAGAGAGAGAGATAAAAGATGATGATAATCTGGCAAACGTGCAAACTTTCTATCAATTTTTTGTTACTTCCGGAAAATTCGTGTTCAATTATTTATCCACTATCAGTCTATTATCATTTTTTTTTTTTTTTTTATCTAACGTTTCTTATTTTACATTCGAAATCTAAATTGTATTCCATAAACAAACTTTGAAAATAATAATAATAATAATAATAATAATAATAATTTTCGCGGGAATAAAATTAAACATCAAATATAATCACGCGTCGATTGTAAAATTTATTAAATTTTAATTTTTTATTTCCCCTTTGTGTGTGTGTGTGTGAAAGAGAAAAAGAGATAGAGGGAGAGGGGAATGAGAGAAAGAGAGATAGAGGGAGAGGGGAATGAGAGAGAGAGAGAGAGAGAGAGCGAGAGAGTGTGTGTGTGTAAGAGCAATTTCGTGCATTTTTCTTTTTGTTTTTATATTAATAATAAAAAAAAAAATTGGAAAAGTTGTGATAATGATGGTGGTGGTGGTGGTGGTGGAAAAGAAGTAAGAGAAGGGTGGGTATAAGAAAAAGGAGGAAGAGAGGGTGAAATGAAGAAAGGGAGGAAGGGAAAACTTTTCGAAAAAAAGAAAAATTCATTAGAAAGAGAAAAACTTTGTTTTATTATTATTATTATTATTACGACAATGTCAAAAGTAAAAATACAAAAATGTGTAAATCCAAAACCTTTGATCTTCCTCCCTTCGGTCTCCCTAAAGGCAAAAAAATCCTTTTTTTTTTTTTTAATTTTTTCCGTCATTTTTTTTAAAAAATAAATTCACGTGACCTTACGAAAAAAATTTTATTCGTTAAGTTGGCATAAATGTAAAAAAAAAGAAAAAAAGTAAAATTGAATTTTTTTCCTGTTAATTTCGAGTGAAAATTTTTTTTTTTTTTTTTTTTTTTTTTTGATACGGATAATTTTTTTAAGGATTTCATCAATCTTTTTAATAATGGTTTTAAATCATTCGAATAAGAAAAAAGAGAGAAAGAGAGAAAGAGAGAGAGAGAGAGAGAGTGAGAGAGAGAGAGAGAGAGTGAGAGAGAAATAACGATGATGATGATGATGAAACGAAATGAAAAAAAAAAAAAAAGGAAAGTAAATTAAAAAAAAATTAAAAAAAAAAAAAAAAAAAGTAAAAGTGATTCAAGTCGGACATTTTGAAAATTAACCATCCGTCAGTGAATTTGTTCGTTCGTTTTTTGGTTCACAAAATTTAATTGAATTTTATTTCCCGGAGGACTTTTTAGGATTTTGTCTTTTTTTTCCTTTTTTTTTATTCCTTTTTTTCTTTTCCTTTTTTTTTCCTTTTTTTTTTTTTTTTTAAATAAATTATATATACATATATATACATATTCGTAATAAAGGTAACAAGTCATGCGTTTGATTATCGTTATCAAATGATTATTCATTCGTGTATATTAAAAACTTTATCGATAAAGGAGGAATTTCCAAATTAAAAAAAAAAAAAAAAACATGTCGTGGCATTAACCGAACCCGCCTCCTTTCCTCCCCTCCCCTCTCCTCCCCACGACCGACTAAATCCATCTTTTTTTGAAATTTTTAATAAAAAAAAAAAATTTATCCCAATTTTTATCTTACGACTTTTCAAAACGGTTTCATTTTTAAAAAAAAAAAAAAATTGAATTTTTCCCTTCGCCTCTTTCCCCTCCCCTTCTCCCCTTCTTTCCCTCCTTTTTTATTATTGATATCGATTCGTGAATATTATCAATATCCATTCTCATTGGTCGATTTTACAATCATTCGTTTTTACGTCATCAAAAAATTTTTTTATTATTATTTTCTTCATTATTTTTTTAACGGAAATAAAAATATAAACAAAAGAATATTATTATTATTATTATTATCGATTTTAATAATAAAACAAAATTAACATAATAATAATAATAATGTTTTGACATTTTTATTTTTATTAATATTATTAAAAACAACGAAATTAAAAAAAAAAAAAATGACTGACAATTTTTTTTTTTTATTTGATTTGAAGAAAATGTAAAAAAAATAATAATAATAATGAGAATGATGATGAGTATGAAATGACGTCACTGATTGGAAAAGAGAAAGGTATTTTTCTCGGGATCAAAGAAAACGTTGACATGTTGATTGTTAATAGGATGTATGTAAATAGAAGAAGAATAAACAATTACGGGTCTCTTGTTGGAAATTGAGTCTCGTGCGTGTGTGGCATTGCATGAGTCAAAGGAAAAATGAGGAAAAGGTTGTGATTAAAAGACAAAGGAAACAAAGAGAGAGAAAGAGAGTGAGGGAGGAGAGGGGAGAGGGGGTTTGAAGAATTCGTAAGAGTCCCACCTAAAAAGACCGTTAAAGACGGTTATTTCGAATAAAAATGTTGCAACCGGAAACGACTCGGCGATCTTGTGAAATAATCAACAAGTTATAAACTAAACATAAATATGTTTCCGCCCAGAAACAAAAACATAATTACCAAACATAATTTTAACAAATGCCAACACGAAAGAGGGGAAACTCCTTAGCAACTTTGACGATCGCCATACGATCATTAATCTCTAAAAAAAAAAAAAAAAAAAAAAAAAAAAAAATTAAACCAAATAATTACATGTAACTTATCGTGATAAAAACACACAACGTGATAATAATAATAATAATAATAATAGTAATAATAATGATAATAATAATAGTAATAATAATGATAATAATAATAATAATTTACGCGATAAAATTATTCGTCGTCAAAGTCTAAAAAACGCTCGTTAAAAAAAGAAAAAAAATTAAAATAATAATATTAATTAACTGTCATAAACAAAATTATTGTTATTATTATTATTTGTTTAAAAAAAAAACCCGTAAAACAACACGAACAAATGAAAACAATATGACAACCGTGTAATAATAATAATAATAATTGATTTGTTTTTATTTTAAAAAAAAAAAAAAGGGGGAAAAAATTTATTTTAATCAAATCCGTTTATCGTTTTATTTTTCATAGAGTAACTAAACATTTTTTTCGTTTTTTTTTTTTATTCTTCATCTGTCTCTCTCTCTCACTTCTGTTAAGAGAATTGTTTTGAAACGTAAAAAAAAAAAAACGCTATAAAATCCCTTTTTAATTTCGAATAAAAGGGGAAACCGCAAAAAAAAATTTTTTTTTTTTTTTCACGAATGAATTCTAAAATCGTATATCCACTGACTTTTTCCCTTCCTTTTTTTTTCCTTTTTGTTTTTTTTTTTCCTTTGACTTTTGTCGAATAAATCAAATAATTAATAGAATCGTTTTTTTTTTCTTTTTATTATTATTATTTAAAATAAAAATGGCGGAATTTGTAAAGAAATTTTTATTTTAAAAAAAATAAAATGCGTAGGAGGTTGTAAAAACGTGCACGCGTTTTTTTTTTTTTTTTTTTTGTAGTTGTACAAAATTTTTGTATTATTAAGTTGTTGTTTGTTATTGTTGTTGTTGTTGTTGTTATATAGTTATTAATTTTCTAAAAGATTAAAGTTTAAAAGAGTGAAAATATATGTTTAAAATTTTTAAACAACAACCTTTAAAAAACAAAAAACTTTTTCTTTTTTTTTTTTTAAACTTAAATTAAATAAAAATTTTTTATTTATTTTCTTTTTTTTAATAATTAAATTAATTTATTAATTAATTTTAAAAAAATTTAATTAAAAACTATTTTTTTGATAATAATAATAATAATAAGAATGTTTAAAAACATGTCGCCCCACATTTCACGCAGGCAAACACACACACGTGGAAGAAGAAAAAGAAAAAGAATGTACGGGGGAAGAGGGAGGGAGTGGGGAGGGGAGGAAGGAAGGAGAAGGAGGGGAGGGGGGAAATAAATTAACGATCGTTTTTATTTATTTATTTATTTTTTTTTTTGAAAAATAGGTCTTATACAATTTTTTGGGGGATGCATATTCGCAATTAAAAGAGACTGAACAAGCTGAAAAATGGTATAAAGCAGCGCTCGAAGCAAAACCTGATCACGTACCGGCTCATTTGACTTATGGAAAACTCCTTGCTAAAAACGTACGTTTAATTAAACTTTAATAATAATGATAATAATGATAATGATAATGATAAAATGAATAACGAACGAAAGAAAGAAAATGTTTCTTTCATATTCTTTCTTTCTTTCTTCCTACTACTAAAATAAAATGCAAATTTTCTAATACTATTATTATTATTATTTTTTTTTTTTTATTCTATGCAGAGAACAAGGATATCGGAAGCTGAACAATGGTTTCTCAAAGCTAAAAAGCTCGCTCCGAGGGAACCGGCAGTTTATCAGCATTTCGGTGAGTTTTCCAAGATTAAAATTAATATATATATATGAAAATTTTAATTAAGAATGATGCACGAGAGGGGAGGAACAATTACGACATTTTTAATATTATTATTATTATTACAAAAGCTTTAATTACTCGGTTGCGCGGGGGAAGGAGAGGGAAAAGGAGGAGAAGGGGGCGTGCCCGGCGTCAGGGTGACAAAAAATAGAAGGAAAAGGTGACGGGGAAAAAATTCGATTGAGTTTTTACACAATTCGTTTGATTGTTTGTTTGTTTGTTGTGTGGTGCAGGACAATTTTTATCGGATTTGGAAAGGCATAGCGAAGCTGCTGTTCATTACGTGAGAGCGGCAGAATTGGCACCCAACGAATACGAAGTCGTCGTCAACGCAGCCACGGCACTCAGGCAAGCAAATAGAAAAAACGAAGCTGAAAAATATTACAGGCAAGCCGTCCAACTTAGACCAGAGGTAAAGTAAATAGAGAGCAATCATTTGTCGTGGCAGTAGTAGTGGTAGCTTTGTGGGGAGGGGGAGGAGATCATTTAAATAAAAAATTTTTTTGGTGATAATTTTAGGATGCGAGAAGTCATAGCAATTTAGGAGCGATGCTTCATTTAAATGGAAAATACAGAGAAGCAGCTAAAAGCTATAAATTAGCATTAAAACTTCAACCTGGCGATGTAACCACTTTGGCTAATTTACACAAATTAAAAAGTTTATTAAAAAAGTTTGAAACGTGACGGGGGGAAAAGCAGAAAAATTAAAAAAAATTAAATATATAAATTTTTTAAAATAAATTTATTCGTCGCATTATTATTATCATTATCATCATCATCATCATTACGAATACACTTATCAATATTGATAAGGGCAAAAAATTAAAATCTATTTAATAAATAAATAACTGAATTGAATTCATAAAAACGCGAAAATTTTTTTTTTTAATTACCTCTAATAATAATAATGATAATGATAATGATAATAATAATAATTACTATTGTGTAATTTTTTAAAATTATTTATATACATAAAACAGTATTAAAATAAATAAATAAATAAATATATTTAATTATATAAATAAATAAATAAATAATTTATTTTATTTTCCCATATTTTTTTTTTGTTTTCCCTCGGTTTAAATTCAAACGAGATTTTTTCGTGTCATTAGAATACGATAAACACGTGACATTTGTTTTCAGTTTAGGATTAAATATGGAGAGAAGAAAAAATTTTCATGTTTTTAAAATGTAAGTTTTTGTAAAATTATTGGAAATTCTTTTTTAATTTAATTTTATTTCCGTTAAAAATAAATCACGTGACGATAATTCATTGTTGATTTTATTATATAAGAAGTTCAGTAAGTTAAAAATTTTTTTTTTTTTTAATTAATATTAAAGATTCAAAAAAGTAAAATATTCGGGTTGTGAAAGTTATTTTTTTCGGTAAATAAATATAAATGACGTAGATGAAGGCCACACCAGGAACAGGAGGACCTGGAGGAGCGGGAGGAACAGGAAGAGGAAGAGACCACAGCAATATTAACATATAAGTACGTTTAAATTTTTTTTTTTTTTTTTTTTTTTAAAATCGTATACGAGGAAAACATTTTTAAAATCTTTCCTTTTCACCTCATTCGATTGTTGTTGTCGGTTGTCGGTTGTTTAAAAACACACATTCTACTACTAGTTTTAATAAATTTTTTTATTAAAAAAAAAATGTGGTTAAAGAGAGAGAAAAAAATTTTTTTTTTTTTTTTTTTTTTTTTATTACCTGTCAGAATTTTTTTTTTTTTTTGAATCCAAAACGGCTGCTGCTGTTGTTACCTTTTAAAAAAAATTTCCCAGTAATTTTAAATGTCAAAAACAGATTCGAAAAATGAACTCGATACAATTTTTTTTTTCCTATTTTTTTCCCTTTCCCCTTTCCCCCATTCTCCTCCCCTCGCACTCCAACCCTCCCACACACACGCGAAACCCGTTCGTTTAACTTTTCTCTCTTGTCCTTATTGTCAAATTGTCAATTGTTTAATTTTTTTCTCATTAATTTCACAACATCCGATTATTTAATTTTAAAAATGATGATGATGATGATAATGATGATAATAATAATGATAACAATATCCGGAAAAAAACGGGGGAAAAGAAAGAAAATTCTATTAAACTCGCACGTTTTTTTTCCCCCTTTCGCTGCAAAAACGAGGAAGTAGAATATTAAAAAAAAAAGAGGGGGAATGAGGGGAAAGAGGGGGGGGGGAGAAAATTTTAAATGAATCGTATTAACACATCGGAAAGAAAAAGATATAATCTAAAAATGATATCGCTGACCAGGAGAAAGAAAGAAAGAAAAAAAAGAAAAAATATATTTTTATATTTATTTTTGGTTTTGATCTTGTGATAAACCTCAAAAGGCTTAAAGCATTATCAAAATACCCAGATAAAAACTTTTTTTTCGCAGTTTTCATTTCCCTCGGGAATAAAAACTGAAACGGACGGACAAATTCACAAAGCTGGTGAAAGTTTAACATTTTCTTTAACAAGAAAAAAAAAATATAAGAGAAAAAGTAAGGATGGTAATGTGGGGGGGGGGGAAACGGGGAGAGGGGTAAAAAAAAAATAAAAACGAATCTGGCAAAAAAAGACGACATGAAGAAAACTTGTATTATACTGCACACGTGTGTGCGTGTATGGAAAAGAATAGGAAGAAAAAAAGCTTTAAAAAAAAAAAAAGATGGAAGATGGAAGAAGACGAACTCGTAAATTTTTTTTTTTTTTTTTAAAATGTTTTTCGGCAAATGGCTGACGACGATAAATTCACTTAAGTCGGAGCACACAAAGATTTCTAAGAAAATGTTTTTTCTTTTCTTTCTTTTACTAAAAAATTCAAAGCGCCCATTTTCATTTTATTCCAAATTTAAAAGTTTTCAAATCAAAAAAGATAAAAAAAGGCGGTGATGGTGGTGGTGGTGGTGGGGGCGATGATGGCGACGTGCACGATGGTGGTGGTGGGCGGTTCTAATCTTTCGACCTTAAAGGAATTTCTTTTCTTTTTTTTTTAATTTTTAACTTTTTTTTTGCTTTTTTTTTGTGTTAACTAGAAATAGGAAACGGAAATGGGAAAATTCAGGAAATGGAAAAACAAAAAAAAAAATGACCAGACGACAAATTTTAAATAATCCACACAAAAAAAAAAACTAAAAATGACGTCATGTTTTATTACCATTCTTCGTTTTTTCTTTTTCTTTCTCCTCCTCCTCCTCCTCTTTACCCTTTCAAATTTTTAAAAAATGGCGGCAAATTTTCACGAAGTCGAAAAAGAAAAAAAAACGGGTTGCCAACTTGCGAAAAATAAAAATTTATAAATATTTTTTTTATTCACTTCCGGTGACTTTTCTTTGACGTACTCACGATCAAACGTCTCACAATTAATAAATAAAAAAACGAATATTATTATTATTATTATTACTACCATCGGCCATTTTTTTTTTGCATTTCCGGTTTTGTCAAAAACCAATTATTTAAAAAAAAAAAATTTTATTTAATAATAAATAACGAATTTCCCGGAAATGAATAATAAAAACACGAAATTTTTTCTCTTTTTTCCGTTATTTCCCTTTCCTTTTTTTCGTTTATCGATTTTCTAACAACTATCGATCGATTATTAAATTTTGATATAAATAAATCGAATTATTACGAATGTTTTTTTTTCGATTATAAACAAATTCAAACGACATCATTTTCTCATATCGTGTAAAAAAAAAAAAAGTTTTTCGTTATAAAAGCGTAAAAGCGTTGAATCGACCCGCTGTTTTTCATCATCTCCAGCGACTTTCAAAAGTCGCTGGAGATGAAATAAAAACAAAATTTATTATTAACTTAAAATAATAATAATAATAATAATAATAACAATAATAATAATAATAAATAAAATATAAAGAACGAAAAAATGGGAAAAATGGGAAAAAAAATTGTTTTTCTTTTTTTTTTTTTTTTTTTAATCCTTTATCGTAGCTTTTACATCAAACATTTTTCTTTTTTTTTTTTTAATTACCGGTAATTATATTTAATAATATTAAACTTATTAAAAATATTTTAAATAATAATAATAATACGTAATAAATTTTTTTTTTTTTGTTTCTTCTTTTCATTTTTAACAATTAACTCGAGAGAGAGAGAGAGAGAGAGAAAAATGAAAAATTCTTATTGTTAATAATATTTTAAGCTCGGTTCTGACGAAAATATTAATAATAATAATAATAATAATAATAATAATAATAATAATAATAATAATAATAGTTGGCAATTTTATTTGAAAGGGAAACGAGTGAGAGAGAAAGAGAGTGAGAGAGAGAGAATGATGAGAAACTGTCATCATTTGAAAAGTGTATTTCACTTTTTTTTTTTTGTGCGTCATTCATTCTACTAACTCTTTTTTTTTTTAAAGCTTTTATCATAATTAAGGTGAGTCTGTGATAAAAAATAATAATAATAATAATAATAATAACAATAATAATAATTCCACGTTTTAAATAAAATAAAATAAAAAAATTTTCCAGAAGTGGAGCCGCCGCCAACAACACAAAAAAATTAAAAATTATTATAAAAAAAAAATTTTTGTTTTTTATTATTATTATGATAAAGTTTTTTTATTTAAAGTGATTAAAAAAAATAAATAAACTTTTTTTTGTTTTAATCCTTAAAATTCCGCCATTTTGTTTTTTTTCTCTCTCCGACGCGACGATGACGATTTAATTAATAATAATAATAATAATGCGTCGTACTATGAAATAAATGATATCATTCTAACATAATTTTTAAATTTTTTTTGGGGGGATGGGAGAGGGGTAAGGTGTGTGTGTGTGTGCGTGCGTGTGTATATAATATGATAAATCAGGAAACCGTGAAAAGTTGCGGGTTTTTCAGGAGCCAAAAAGATGGCAAGAGAGAGAGAGAGAGAAAGAGACCGACCCAACGATAAGATGAATGCTTATGACCTAAAAAATTTTCAGGTAAAAAAAAAATGGAAAGAAAGAAAGAAAGAAAAAGATTGGGGGGATTGGGGGTTGGGAAGAGAGAGGAGGGGAAAAGGTCGAGAATCGTGGAAAAAAAAAAACCGGAACACGAAAGACTTTTCCGGTGTGGTTTTCACAAATATTATTTTTCCCTGTTTAAATATTTGCACGTAAATTCACCGCAAATAAGAAAAATCTTTTGTTAATTGAACAACTTTTTAATTCAACGCATGAAAATTTTTCATCATCATCATCATCATCGTTAAATTTTTTTTTTTTTGGAGAATCAAAAAGAGAGAGAGAGGAAATGGTAGGAATACTGGATAGTAGTCGTTTATTTCCGCTCATCGAGTCAAAATAAAAAAAAAAATTTTGCTGCGGAAAAATTAAATATTTTCGTCGCATTACGTCATTTTTTTTTTTAACTTAACCACCGACAGCAAATGATTTTTTTTTGTTACCTGCAGCATTTCTACTCCCTCCTATTCCCTACTCCTTACCCCAATCCTCGTTCGTTACCTTTTAAAAATTACTTTTTCGTTGTACTTTTTTTTCCACAAAAAAAAATTTATTACCAGTAATTTTTCTTTAAAAACAAAAAAAAAATATTTAAAATGAATTTTAAACCGAAATTTTCAACAAGTTATTTATTATTATTATCATTATTATTATTATTATTAAATGAAAAATGAAAATTAATTTTATTTACTCTTAAGTTTTTAATTATTTTTA